GAATGATGACAATTATTGAAGAAAGACAACCACCATCTTTGTTGGGGCAGGGAGGAGGTTTGAATGTTTTCAGCTAAAGATAATTATGACAGTTTTGTGAGAAAGCACACCCACCACACCACAGGGGGGGGCAGAGGGGGTGAAAGATCTGAATTACATCACAGTCATGGAAGAAAGCAAACCCCCCAAACCACAGGGGAGGAGGGGGATCTGCCTGACCTGTCAAACATGCAGGTCTTGCACAAAGTGACAGTCACGTACCAGAATGCTAGCAACTGTGGNNATACCAACACCATACCATTGGGTGGGGGGCGAGGGGGGGGACTGGCCAGCACTGCACCATATATCTGCACACGGATGAGCTGGAAGTCCTCCGAGCATAGTCTTATGTGCCCTTTGCATGACACTGAGACGAAGAACCCTATATTTATGTATATATATATATATATATTATAAGAGGCTTCAAGCATCAGCAAGCATTCCAAGGAAGCGCCCTCTCTGTGACAGGGGCCCTACCAGCGCTGCAGTCGTTTTGAACAGCGCCCTTATAGGTCTGTATGTTGTGTCATGCTTGCTTGGGCCTGTATAGGTCCACGTACGCATATTTTTGCAGCTTAATGTGTAGTGTATATACGTGTTTAAACGTCGAAGCCTTTATCTGTGTCTACGGTATACACACATACACAACCCTCACATGATCCGCATATGCTATTCATATAGCACGTTGCCCTTTACTGTTGGCTCACACCGTGGAACTCAGGCTTGACACATCCACAAAACTCTGAAGCCTGAAATCCTGAACCCCCTAAATTCCCCAAACTCCTAAACCCCTCAACCCAAAACCCCAAATCCTTGAGACATGAGGGTGGATCCACACGGGAATGCCACGAACCAGGGCATTGGCGGAATGTGGCGCTCCATGGGCTACTGAAAGGCAAGAAGCAGGGTTGGTTTAGGGTTTAGGATTTGGGGTTTAGGATTTACGAGTTTACCGCGGTTTACGGCATGGGATTTAGGGTTTAGCATCTGGAGTTTAAGGTTCAGAGTTTCAGATTCAAGGTCTAGGCTTAGGCTCAGGGCATGAGGTTTGGGGTGTAGTGTTTAGGTATTGAGGTTCAGGGAAAGCTAACATGAAGCTTCAGGTAGGCTCCTAGGCTTTAAATGCCACCTGCCCAGGTTCTGTTGAATTGAGGGGATCTCGGGCTAAGGTTTGTGAGACATCCTTGGACTCTTTCCAGGAGTGTGATGCATGTTGTTCTGCCTGGCTAATTTGATGTGGGTGCCAGCTGCCACTGATTGCCAACAGTGCCATGGCTATAAACTGTGCTCCAGCGGCTTTTCAGTATTTGGAGCGTATTTCCCGTAAGCTTTCCAATCTCTAGACTAGAGTCAGTCGAGAACTTAGTTGCGATATAGTTCTGTACAGCACGGCATGAAGAAGGCCCTGAATTATGGTACTCGGTGAGTGCATATAGGCGCCTCAGGAATATTGGTGTTTCTATCTGACGTCCAGTTTGGGGGCCATGAGAATCTCCACCAGATGTGTAGTTCTGTACACATTAATCGGAAATCTTGATAGGACCGCGTCTCGTCCAAGCTTCACTCTCAACCCTCGGCCCAAAAGCGTGACTCTGCCCAGCAAAGCCTGAACCCTAAATCGCCAATCGTTCAAACCGTAAACCCTAAAAACAAACTTCTGAACCCTAGACTCCCAAAGCCTTGACCCCAAAACCTACACCCAGACCCCTAAGCAACTGCGGTACGGTACAATCAGTATGGGATAAAACTATGCGGCGCAATACATCGCACTACATCTGGCTTTCAGAAGACGATATTTTGTTCGACTCTTATCTAAGGCCTTAAACCTAATAACAGGCTGTTGGCACCCCAACCCGAGCAATTCATGGAAATCCTAGACCCTCAACGCTCAACCCTCAACCCTAAACCTTTATTCCCCAGGCTGGGGCAACCAAAATCTGGTCAACCCTCATCCCTAAACCCTGAATGCTACACCTTGTCCAAGGTTGTGGGCATCCAAGGTGTCAGCCCACGCGGATATCTCGCGTGACCGCGGACGCCTGGCTGAAGAGTGCTGATACAATGGAGGAAATCTTGCACTACCTATTTAGACCCACTTGCTATATTCCCGGCAATTCAGGGGTTCCAAGTGGGGCAAGATTTCCTCCATCCACCGCAGTCCGTGTGTTCAGGGATTAGAGGGCCAGAGTCAGGGGTATCTTTTGTTTGCTTTTCATCCTTGTGATCTTGCTTTGAATCCACTGTATATTTGCTGGCTCTACTAAGACCCATCTAATAGAAGGACCTGGATAAGTACCAATATTATGGTCTTAGGTCCCTCGGCAAAATACAAACGAAGTACCAAAAACACCTCAAATGATATAGGTCAGAAATTAGGTCCCTACATTGCTCTCGCCATTGCCTGATTGTGCGACAGGCGAAGGGCAGGCCGCGATCCACCACCTACAAAGATTCTGGGCCGCTACTAAGAATTTTTTGAACTAATATAATCAGGAAACCCCATTATTTACTGTAGGCCCGTATTACGCAACATAAGCCCTAAACCCTAAACCCTGTACACTCATAATGTGGTAGTAACTTCAATTGAGTTCCTTAACAGCCACCCAGGATTTGGCAGCTCCATTCCACGGCTCGCCAGCTCACAGGTGCGGTGCTTCGAGCCTGACACGGTTGCTCCTGCAAATCCTGCATGAACCTGGTATACCCAGGAGTTTAGGGTTTAGCGTTTAGTAGTGTACCAGGGTCATGTGGTTTTTCGAGCATCAACCGTACGAGCGCGTTCAAGAAATTGCCAAATAGTTCCTTGTCCAGGACGAGTAAAACTAGTGCTTCATGGTTCAGTTCTATGGTTTTATGGATGAAGGGTTTAGGTGTAACAGTCACGGGTAATATGGAACCTGAAAAGGGCCCAAGAAAGAACACACTTTGCTGTGAGAACGGGGGCATAGGTGGTTCCATTTTATTGACATCCCTATATCACACCTATATGACCCCTTCATTCCCCCAAATCCTGCCAAAGCGCTAATATGCTCCCTCCCTATATACCCCCCATAGAATGCTCATATGGCTCCCCAAGCCCTGTATACCCTAAACATACCCGGCTGTATAATCTCCATACGTAATCCCTATAGGCCTGCCGCAGCTTCCGCAGGAGCCCTGTTTGTATACATATACATATACATATACATATATATGTATATACATATATATATATATATCTACATATACACATGCACACGGACATACCCTCAAACTCCGAACCCTAAACGCGAAACCACTATAATCTTTAATGCCCCCTATGTTCTAAGACCTGTTGACGGCTAGTAACGAGCTTTGTCTTCCTTTCTCGTGTAAAACAGCAATGCTAGGGGTTGGCAGGTTTTTGTCGCTTTAGGGTTAAGGGTTCTTACGGGCAAGGTAATACACAGTAACAATACTAAGGGGGCTTTGGTACAGCAATCCCAACCACCCCAAAAATTAGGAGGCCATTACTATTTCCCCTTACTAAACAGCAGCTGGCATGCGACCCTAACCTATTAAAATTACTGCAATCCAAAACCTAAGTTCGGAGGCTAGAGACATTGACGCACGCGTTTGCGGAGCGGGTGACCTTCGATGGCAAGAAAGTCTCTCGGCCACATCGAGGTTTAGGGCTCCGAGCTCAAGGTTTGAATAGGGTTTAGGGCTTGGGGTTAGGGTTTGGGGTTTAGGGATCATGGAGGATTATGTACATTTGGGATGTTTTGGGTTTAAAGATAATGGAGAATTACATGAAGCAGAAAGTCGAAACAGAATGGGAACTGAGTTCATGTAGGGGTCACAAGCGCCTGCGTCGTTTACATGGAAAAGCTGTTACGGTCTTACTAGGGATGGTAGAGCCCAACACGTTACCAATGTAGGCCTAGGGGCTAAGGTACATTGCATGCTTTTCTCCTGCTCGGGGAGAAGGAGTGGGGGAGTGGGTCCGGGTAACAATTTCTATGCATGGCGCCCGTTAAGTGGATAGCATATGGGATATATGGGTACCTTAGCTGCAAGACTTGTTAAGCGGAAATGTCTGGACGGATGTCGAGGGGGATGCCGTGATGCCGATCATGCAGTAGGTTTGCCCATTATACCTTGCCGATGCGATTGCAAGCGGATGAGGCCCCTTCAGAAATTATTAGGTATCCTTCATAGTGCGTTGCTGAGTGGCATGGAGTATATACAAGACTCTCATGCTGATTTTGATGCCCATTCCTTCCTTTCCGCCTTAGGCCTTTACACCCTCAACCCTGAACGTGGATATCGAAGATGTGTCATGTAGGATGTTTGTTTGCCATACAATTTGGAGGAAGGAGCCTATCCTCTCTTTAGGTTTAGGGCTTTGATGTTGCCTGAATACACCTTTGCCCCGGGAAACTGCCGGATGGGGCTATCTCAGAACATGCTTGACGAACCCTCCTCCTTCTGCAATCTTCATAGCATTCTGAAAAAGGGGATCTCGCTTGTGTGTTCTTCGGCTTACGTAGAAATCAGGGTATAGATTCTGGAAGTGGCAGTTGATCCAAATTTCTCTTCCCAAATCGCCATGTTGCAAAATACTTTCTCCCGGTACTTTGCCTGATAGAGGTACAACAACGCCCCCTGAAAAGGACCTTTAGATCAGCCCCCCCAAACCCCAAACTCTAAACTCCCAAACCCGAAACCTCTAGCTTCCCCAAGTCTCGTTCCCAAATTGCCTTTTGAGGCTACAGGTGTAGAAATCTCCTTGACTTCTGACGCCGCTCCGAAGGTAGGGTTTAGGGTTGGGGGTTGAGGGTTTAGGGTTTGGGGGTTGATGGCTGAGGATTTTAGTGCTCAGTGCGTGGGGTTGAGGGTGCAGTGTTGAAGGTTTAGGTTTGGGTTTTTGACGATTTGGGGCTAAGAGGTTTCCAGGGGGGCATTCAAGATAACAGAACACTTGCTGCCAGAGTTTAAGATGTGATGAAGGGCCTTCCCTAAGCATGTCCACACCCTGAAAAGCAACTCCCCCTAACCAGGCAATAACAGATATTCACCCAATGCATATTGTACTACGTTGGGATTATTTGTCATGAGGGGGTTGGGGCTTCATTAGGGGACAGGATTGTTACCATCACTGTCATCATTATCTTGCGACCATTCTAAGTACTACCAGTGTTGCTATCACTCTTGCTGATGCTTCCGTTACCATGATGTGGCATGATTTTGATGTCAAGCGTTCCAGCCTGAGAGCGCTTTGAACCGGGCTTGTAATTCTGGAATGTCTTAACCTTAACCTCTGCGTGAATCCTAGATGCAAATGTTGTGTTTCTCTGTAGACGTCCTCCAGGTATGCTCTAGAATGCCGATGAGAGCCGATTTGAAATCCCATGGCAGGTTGTTCAACGTCGACTCCGACTTCGGGCCAAACACGAGGTGGGCTCCTTTTAATGTTTGTGGCCTTCAAGGAAGGATGCTTGCGTATTGGGTTTGCAGGGGTTCCGGTTCCAGGTTTGTGAAGCATTTGCTGCGCTCAAGTGGTTAACTACAAAAGGGTAGCCTTAAACCATCATGTATGCGACGTTTCCTAATACTAGAGGGTTTTTGCCGGATACCATAATCCCAAAGCCCTTGTCTCCAAACCCCAGCCCCAACACCCTCAAACAAAAAATACAGCTAGTGGGAGATTTTTGGAACCGCGGTCTAGGTCTAAATGGATTGAAGCACTCGCCCAGCTTGCGTCCTCCCGCTAGAACATCCTGTGATGGCTACGTACATGATTCCCATGAAAGCCTCCTGAAAAGCAAGATGGAACCTCATATTACCCTATATTACCCATAGTCCTATATGACCCTATATTATAACCCTATGCAACACTATCTTACCCCCCCCGTCTCCCCCCTCTCCCTTCCTTCTCCCCCCACT